TGGTGTCCACCACTACAGCGGCAATAATACTGAACTGGGCACAGCATGTGGAAAATACTACAGAGTGTGCACACTGGCAATCATTGATCCAGGTGATTCTGATATCATTAGAAGCATGCCAGAACAGACCGGTGAAAAATAAACCAAGCAGAATTTTTCATGAATAAAACCTGCCATAGTTTGTTAAAAAAAAAAAATTAATTAATAAATAAATAAAAAAGACCTGTATGGATGTAAAAAGGACATAGGACAGTGGTGGTGACCCTACAATACCTGTGCTATTTGTATCATTGAAAGCTCTAAAAGGTTTACCATTGCTTATGTACAAGATCCTTTTTTTGTGTGTGTGGGGGGGGGGACAGGTCTATAGGGTGTTCAGGGGCTTGCTACTAGATCGGACTTGTAGTGATCTACCTGTTTACAGCCTCCCAAGAGCAGGGATTACAGGTGCGCGCCATGCCCAGTCTCAGTTGCCCTCTCAGTGCGCCCTGGGGCCGGGGCCAGCACGGCAGGCCCAGGGCTCGAATCCCCGGCCCCCGTGCCTGCTTGTAGGCACTTTAATCCACTGAGCTATTTGGCAGGCCCTAAAAAATAAAAGTATGATGAAAAAACACATTTATATTGTCTATGTGAAACTTCCCCCAGAGACATTTGGATTGCAAGGGGAGAACGTTACAGTGGAGAGAACTAGTGGTCTGCACCTTAACCAGAGATCGGACTGACATCCTGTGCCTCTGAGATGGCACAGTAAGAGGGGTACAGTCTCAGCATGTGCAAGCCCCAAGATTAAGGCCTGACACCAAACAAAGGTTAACATCTGGGGAGTCCAGGTAAAGGGGACACAAAAATTTCTGTATTATTGTTGAAACCTGAGTCGAAAATTATGTCAAAATAAAAAATTAGGCCTATCTCTCACGACGTAATAAACTAAAAATGGGCTGGGCATGGTGGTGCACATCTATTATCCCAACACTGGGGAGGCTGAGGCAGGAGGATCACTATGAGCTTGGGCTACATAGTGAGTGCAAGACCAGCCTGAATTATGTAGCAAGACTGTGTCTCAAATAAATATAATTAAATTAAAAATAAAAAGCAGGCCGGAGAGATAGCTTGGCTGTCGAAGCACCTGCCTGGCAAATGCAAGGACCTGGGTTCAATCCCTGGTGTCATATGCTGTGCTGGCCCTATGCTGAGCCGGCCATCAAAACGGGCGTGGTATTGCATGCCTATAATCCCAGCGCTGGGGAGGCTGAGACAGGAGGATCACTACGAGTCTCAGCTGCATAGTGAGACCCTGTCCCAAATTAAAAAAAAAAATAAAGGGCCAGCCAGATAGCTCAGTGGACTAAAGCACCTGCTTAGGCAGGCTCAGCGACCAGGGTTTGATTCCTGCCCCAGAGCATGCTGAGCTGGTGATGGAG